CCTGGAAGCTGCGGCAAACCTTCAGGAAGAATATGCGAGGCGCTATGGCGAGAGCCACCCTCCACCCGTGAAAATGTTGCAAGTCTCAACCTGCAGAACCATAAACGGTGAGGAAGTCTCAGGCGAACCGCACAGCCCGCCCTACCGACACTTCTGGGCTTCTGAGGGTGCGACGGGAGAGGAGGAGGAAGGCGACCTAGGAGAGAGGAGGACCAGGAAAGGAGGCAGAAGAGGAGGAACGAAGAGGACAAGGGACGAGAATGACGAGGGACGAGGACGAAGAACGAAGGGGAGGAGGGACGACGGGGAAGAGCACTGGGGAGACAAAAACGCCCCGATACCGCTACTCCCCCGGCCCACGCCCCGGGCGCGTTCTGACCGAATCTCGGAGCAAATCCCCACCCGCGGCGACGACAGCATCCCAGGAGGCCCACAACGGCGAAAACGAGGCAAGGACAGCGGTGTCAGCACCTTTCCCGCCTCTGCGGATCTTCGCCCGCCCGACCGCCTGACCCGCCCCAGGCCACTCGCCCGCGTCCGCCGCCCGCGGGCCCGGGACGTACTCCGGCGCGTCGGCGGAGAAATAGTGCCTCGTCTGGCCCGCACCCGCGCGAGGAGCGCCCGCGTGCGCCTCTGGGCGTGCCTCTGAGGCTGAGGCGGGGCGGGGACCAAATTGGGGTGGGGATGCTGGCTGCTCCACCCTTCTGCTCCTGCTGCTGCTGCTGCTGCTGCTGCTGCTGCTGCTGCTGCTGCTGCTGCTGCTGGCCTTGCAGGTTGGGATGAGCTGTTCAGTAAGGATGCCAGGCCCAGGACGGAAACAAATACTACCATGAAGCTCTGAGGCGTCTTGACAGCAATGCTTTTTCCGAGCACACCCCTCGCGGAACTTCAAGGTATCCAGGCTGCGAACTGGAAATACTGGCTTACGTCGTCACCATACATTTGTGAACACCTGTGGCTGTGGTGTCCAAGGTGATCGTGGACACCACGCACTCGAACCGAAGATAACATACACAGCTATACATACAACCGTGCACGCGCATGGTAAAGAGGTGGCACACGCTAAAATCACACGCGCTGTCGCATACAACAAGAGGATGAGGCAAAAAAAGGCGAGCAGCACTGTATAGCAGCATGGAGTAGCTCGACGCGATGTCGAAGCAAGCTGAGGCGATTGCCTCAACAGGGGGGGCGAAAAGGGATGCACTTCGCAATTCAAAAATTTGCGATGCTGCTGTTGCTGCGCCCTCCACAAAACGCGAAGCAGCAGCAAGAAGATACAAATCTACTAGCACGAAGCTGTGAACAGTCGTGGAATAGTGGCTGGTAGGCAATAGCGCAAGCGTGAGGCTTACCATGTCACATAGGAAAGCAATTGGCATCCATGCGATCCACAGCCAACGCTGGCATCAGCGCTTCAGCCGTCTGAGGTGGCGGCACACCCGCTTCATGTTCACGACGCGCTGCCCGCTGGACCCTGGGCCTAGCGCGGAAGCGGTAGGTAAAGAGCAAAACTGGATCATGTCTTGATCGACTTGTGTTCCTTGCCCTCCACGTGGGCTGCGCAGTGGTTGATCTTCGCAGGCTTGCTGACGCCCGTCTTCTCGCTCAAGTTGTTCTGCTTCAGCCACAGGTTCAGGACGGTCTAGGTCAGTTTAGGCACCTCACTGAGTCTCTTGAGAAACCAGTTTCACGATTCTCGGACCAGTCGCACGCATCAGTCTCGGGCAACAACATCTGCTGAACATGGATCACGGCAGGTAACGTCTCCTCATCCCCATCGCGATGCTCTGTGCGATCTGTCAAATCAATAGGGGGCTCGAGGCTGACAAGGCCCCTGACGTTCTCCCTGCGGCCGGACGGGCTTGCTCCAACAGCGACCTTACATTGTGCATCATCCGCCTGCGTCACCAACTGCTTGAGCATTTCGTCTTTTTCGTTTTGCTGTTGACGTCATCGTCATCATCTGGGCTCTGGAGTTCATGCATCGTCTTCGTCATGGTGGCGCCTTCGATCTGCTCCTCGGAGTCGTTCGGTGTTGGATGACTATTATGCTTATTCTTCTTCTCTGCATATTTCTTGCAAATATTCCCCATGGCTTCCATGTTCATTACGCCACTGTCCGATCCCGAACCTCCCGAGGTACCGGCCACGCCAGCGCCTGCCGTTGAGCTGCTATAATCTGACGTTTTCCAAAACTCCCCCACGCGCATACTTCAGGAACTGAACAGGGCTGCCTGTTCCCTGGAAAGCTTGTCCCTCTTCAGTGACTTACGAACCTTCTTCTGGCTGAGGCCGAACAAGGAACCGACGGCTTCGCTAGCATCCTGGCGAATGGCGGCGGCCATGCTCTTGCGCTTCGCGCGCTCGGCCTCGGCCTGCCCACGCTGCATGAAAGCACCCTGTCATCTCCTTCGCGTCGCTCAGCGCGTCGCGCAGATAGGCCCCCCGGCGGCTGGGCGGCCAGGGGCGGCAGTGCTGCCGCGGTTTCGGCGTCCACGAGCTCTGGCGCGGCCCTGCACCTCCGCCCCCCTGCCAGCGGCATCTTCCGCCGCTGCCATCGCCGCCTCCCCCGCCTCCGCCGCCCCAGCCCACGGCAGCTCGCACTGGCGCCGGTCGGGCGCAGGCGAGCGACGGAAGGCGGCACTGGCTGGGGGGGCTGGGGGATCGATCACAGGGGATGCGATTCCGAACCAGCGCGCTATCGAAGACGGACTCAAGCGTTTCACGGGCCCCCTGCACCGTTTGCCAGGGGGCGTCTCGAAGCCCATCCAAAGACACGCTCGACCACGCAAACTCACGCCCCAGCCTCCGAACAGATGCACGCCGACGCGCGCTTCCGCGGGATGCCGCAGAGACTACGCCCAATGATTTTGACGGCCATGAAAGCAGAAAAACCTGGCACGAGGATATCGATCGCTGCCTTGCGAGCCCTATGAACATGGCCTCGGGGCACCGCATTGAACGCGAGGGTCCGCCCCCGCAAACGAAGGTGGAGAAGGCGAGGTGGGAACAAGTCGAGTGCGCTGCGACACTGCGGGAACTTTGCATTTAAAATTACGACGCACACCATGGACGCGTTCATGATGAGCAGAGAATGCACGGCACTAGAAACTCTCGTTATGCGCGACAAGCCCACATTGCAGGGATTGCATCGGTAGTCCTGCCCCCTCGCGGGCGAGCCCCACGCCCCAGGGAAGAGCTCCCGAAGGCCTCCAAAGAGACACCTGGTACAGAAAACTTGAACGAAACATATCGAGTCATCAACACACCCAGCACCTCGGGCGAGTTCATGGTCTTCGGGGAGAGGGAGGGAGAAACCACAACGTTTGGCAACAAGTGGGGCACGGTACACACTGACGACGCCTTTCCCGAGGTCTGCCACCGTAGCAGGCACTGACATCGGGTCCCCCATCGGCGTCTACGACGGCGGAAGATGTCAGATCCCACCGAGAAATATGGTCTGCACACGCATACTGCAACGCGCGTCGAATATCTTTAAATGTGGCCAGGACGTGTCCTTTCTTTTGGGTTTGTCCTGGGATGTAGAGGCCCCCATGCTGCCCCCCTGCTACGATGGACTTCAAAACCCGCAGCCCCTGTGGTTTTAATTATGCGCCCGAGCACGTGACGGGCCTTCTGATAACCTCGAATCTCAAATGCATCTCTAGAGGACTGGGCTGCATCGGCTTGGACAACTGACAAGGCGTCTTTCTTTCTCCCACATGGGCAGATACATTTGCATCCGGGCACCTCACGCAACTTGTCGACTCTAACATGTAGCAGGGAAGGGAGCAAAGTGCGTTCCCAAACAGTCCTAGTTGGGTCTCCAGACTTACGTTTAACGATACGGGGGGCGCGCGCGGCACGTTGCAAGACTCTTTGTTGCGTGGCTCCACAGTTGCTGATAATCCCACGTTCGTGACCGCGCGGTTTAGCGCGCACCAGCTCTCCTGCACCGGCCGACGCGAACAGACCATTGATAGTGAGGTATGCTTCGGGCAGGTGCTCAACCAATGCTTGCTGCTTACTGCGCTATCTCACTGGCACCATCTCAGAGTCACGCCCACGCTGCATTCTGACAACTTGTAGCGGAGTGAGGTTCGGCATGCATTCGCAATGTGATATGTCTTCCAAGAAGCAACGACCCGAACGCAACAAATATGCAGATGTTGGGATCCCCACTCGTCTGCGCGGGTCTCTGTCAACTCCAGACCAAACATGGCTGGGCAATTCCCGAGGGTAAAACTCACGCGAGACGGCCAAAGGGTTTCTTTTCATCTTTAGGATCTGGCTGCAATGGGCAAATGTGATCCTATACTCGCGAACGAAGCCAGCCCCTCGCAAAACGCACTATGGCGACTTGGCATCTACTGAACTGCGCCCTCAATTGAGGCCCCAGTTCATTCCAGAATATCTGCGCATCAACCGGCCCTGGGACATCCCAAAACGAGTTTTCCTAAACGACATCGCGCGCCAATGCGTTGCTACACTGGGATCTTGGCAAATGCGGCGGTAGAATGGCACAGAGCAGAGGGGGAAGCAAGGCGCTGATGAGTGAGCACACAACTGAAGCACGCGGCTCGCGATCCAACCACTTGGCACTTTGCGCGACAACACGTGCATAAATTATTTCGCCCTCTCGTTGCACGCCACATATACGCACGCACGACCCGACGATCACGCGACAGGACTCGAGGGCAGGAGGAAGCAATACGCACTGTAAACATCCTACTCGGGAGGATGTTTCCTGTTCGCATGAACCTTTTCGCGATCTTTCCTCGGGCGGCATCACGCCGCAGGACACGCGGGAAACTACACAGACACCACAGTTTGACAAAGTATGGCCCCAACAACGCATGCCTCCAAGCCTTACGATAACCAAGTCGCGTTGCCAAGTCCCCCAAACGAATTCAGAGCCAATGCCCAAACCCTCGCACATACATAAGTCGCTCGACATGGGCAAGAGAGGCAAAGATGATGTTGGCACCATGCGACAAGGGCAGGAAAAAATTGATTGCGTGCGCTGCATACATTGACGCATGTGTGTACGTGTACGTTTTAGCGTGAGTAACTTCAGTGAACGATCTCACGCCACGCTAGGTCGCCCCCTAAATCTAGGAATATCGCAGACGCGAGGGTCTCTCTTACTCTGTTGAGATGATGCGTTTTTTTTTTGCGCAGGCGGACGCAGTACTTCAATTGCAAACAATTCATACTGCAATACATGCGGAATGCTACCACATGCAGGAGTGGCGACCAGCGACAACACAGCGCAACTACGCCATTGCTTATATATTGGACGGTGTAATTGCCTGCCGACATCCAAAAAACGTCGCGTGGAAATATTCTTCGAAACGTGACAGTCCTCCATTCCACTGCTATCTGTTGGCCCATCGGCGTGCTTCGACCTTGCCCAAGTACCAGGACCCGCACTCAAGGGAAACTGCATCATATAGCATTCCCGCGCGCGTTCCGTCTGCTCATGGGTAAAAACATGGCGCGTAAGATGTTGCGGGGAAGATTTCCACAACGGGGCTCTAAACGTCTTGCACAGCAGTGTGCTCTGAAATTCTGGCTTGGCCGCACGCACTACCATTCGCACAAGATATGTGTTCAATGTGCGTGGCAGCAGAATGGTAAAATATGTGACATCCAAAGATGTAGTAGCACGTCCATATTTACTTATTGGCTCGTCCTTGGGCAAGCCATATGCCGATGATGCAGCATACGTCCCGCAGCGTCTCAATATTAGAAGTAGGGGTGAAGCCCTGAAGGGCCCAGTTGCCAAAGGATCTAGCCAGGTTATGGCTAAGTGTTGCTGGGATGTTGCAGTACTTACACGCAGCATGGAGGATATGGTATCCCCTCTTCGCCTGGACGGTACGCTGTCAACCTGTGCACTGCAAACTCTGTAACACTCGATGTGAACGGGCAAACGCAACCCCCACACGGAGGATATGTATCGGCAGGAAACGGAGACTGCTAGCATGAATCACCCCCGCCCACAAGGAGGTATATGGGGGTGATTTGCTCGTCTCGCAAGTTGGAATGAATGCTTAAGTAGGGATACCAGGCCCAGGACGGAAACAAATACTTTCATGAGACTCTGAGGCGTCTTGACAGCAATGCTTTTTCCGAGCACACCCCTCATGGAGCTTCAAGGTATCCAGGCTGCAGACTGGAAATGCTGGCTTACGTCGTCACCAGACCTCGAGGTAAACATCTGTGGCTTTGGTGTCGGTGTCTCAAGTAAGCGTGATCAACACGCACTCTGACCAAAGATACCAGACACAGCTATACATATGACCGTGCACGTGTATGGTAAAGAGGTGGCACACGTCAAAATCACACGCGCTGCAGCACACAACAAGAGGATGAGGTCAAGGACAAGAAGTAAAAACAGGCGAGCGGCATTGTGTAACAGCATGTGCTAGCTCGACGCGATGTCGAAGCAGGCTGGGGCGATTGCCGCACCCGGGGGAGGGGGGCGAAAAGAGATGCATTTGGCAATTCAAAGTATTGTGATGCTGCTGCTGCTGCTGCTGCTGCTGCTCCTCCCCCCCCTCCTCCTCCTCCTCCTCCTCCTCCTCCTCCTCCTCCTCCTCCTCCTCCTCATCCTCCTCCCGCACCTCCTCCTCCTCATCCTACTCCTCTTCCTCCTCCTCCTCATCATCATCATCATCATCCTCATCATCATCATCATCATCATCATCACCACCACCACCGCCACCACCACCATAACCATCATCATCATCATCATCATCATCATCATCATCATCATCATCATCATCAGCAGCAGCAGCAGCATCATCGTCGTCAGCATCATCAGCATCAGCATCATCAGCATCAGCATCAGCATCAGCATCACCATCAGCATCATCATCAGCAGCATCAGCATCAGCATCATCATCAGCATCATACTCATCATCAGCATCATCATCATCTTCACCATCATCATCATCACCGTCATCAGCATCGTCATCATCAGCAGCATCATCATCCGCATCATCACCATCATCACCATCATCCGCATCAGCATCATCATTATCAGCATCAGCATCAGCATCATCATCATCATCATCATCATCATCATCATCATCATTATCAGCATCAGCATCATCATCATTATCATTCCCCCCCTCCACCTCCTCCTCATCATCATCATCATCATCGTCCCTCCTCCTCCTCCTCCTCCACCTCCTCCACCTCCTCTTTCCCCCTCTCCTCCTCCTCCTCCTCCTCCTCCTCCTCCTCCTCCTCCTCCTCCTCTTCCTCATCCTCATCCTCCTCCTCCTCCTCCTCCCCTTCCTCCGCCTCTCCTCCTCCTCCTCCTCCTCCTCCTCCTCCTCCTCCTCCTCCTCCTCCTCCTCCTCCTCCCCCTCCTCCTCCAGTCCGTCTCCTTATAGATAACTCCTCCCTGTCGCACCCCGAGGCTAGTTTTTAGGGCGGGGCGGGCGTTTCGCCTGAGACTTCCCCACCGTTTATGACTCTGAAGCG